GGCTATTTTTTGGTTGCAGCCGTCATTGTTGTTTGGTGGGTCCGGGCTGGGGATTCGAACCCGCCACCTTAGGTGTATGTGGCTGGCGCCTTAGCCGGTTGAGCTATAGGCGCCAAGCCTGGAAAGTAGATTCTCTGACTCTTAGTCACTGACTCTCTTCTAAGTGTTTTCCCCTTTCTTTACAATATCAAAAGGATTTGTTAATACCACCACGAATTTCATCAGAAAAGTCTTTAAGTATTAGGAAGCTGTCAAGTTCATGGTGGTGGATACAAGTTTTCTATAGTTCTAATTTTTACTTGAAAGGTTAAATTTTATCATTGACCACAAATACTATCAGTTTTCCTTGAAGTGTCAAGCTCATTTTGTTCATTTGTTTATTTTTTTTGACATGTCTGCCAGTACCCAAGTCTGAATAACAAGTCAGTTGTTTTTTCAGGTAAAAATGGTGTTCCATTAAAAGAATGACCTTCTGTTTCTTTGATTTTTAACTCTTTTGTATCCAAGAAGAACTAGAATCCCTAACTTAATGCTTCTCAAGCCAAATTAGAAAAGTCTTATGTCTGGTCAGGTGTATAAATAGAAGTACTATTAGAGAATAGAAGCACTATTTCAATTGGCTACACATGCCAGTCCCTGGGCCCTGCACTGGCTATGGTCTAGAGTTCACTGGCTCTTTGTGGGGCTATGCACACTATATTATAATCCCACATGAGTAGTCTCACCCTCTCCAGAGGTTCTAGTTCTACTCAGAGTGAAGCAAAATTATCTTGGACCCTTTTGGAGCAGATCCAAAATCTGCTCAGAAAACCCTTAGAACTTTTCTTCCTTTTCCCCCATATTTTAGCTAAGGCTGGACCAGTACCTTCAGAGGCTCTAAAATTTAAAATGAGGTGAAGAAAAAATGGTTGAATATTTCATTCTTTCAATGAACATTTACTGATCATGTTCTGAGTGTGGGAATACTGTGCCAGGTGCTAAAAATACAGCTTGTGAACAGTTATTTGAAAGTCAGGGTTGAATGACTTTTCAGGGCATAAAGGGGTCATAATTTGCAGAATTTGGAAAATGGCAAGAGATCACAGTCAAAGAGAACTCTGATCCATAAGTATTTCTCTGCCAGAGCAAAAACTGGAAGAATGTTATTACTGACTAAATATAACATCACCTAGGCTTGGGATTTTTACCAACCTCTGACAGTTAAAAGCAGAAGTGAAAATGTCAGAAAAGTTCCCAGTTCCACAAGGCCTTATACCCAGGGGCAGGCATCAGGGCTTATGGTTAAGACATCAGCTTAGGAGTAGTGCCCGCAACTGCCTGGACCTGAAAGAAGGACTCAAGTATACTCAACTCAGAGAGGACAATGGATAAGCTAATCTCTAGTGTGACTTACAAAGAACAGAAGAGCCAAGGGGCCTAGATAATAGCTTGAGTGCCTACTGCCTGAATTCCTTTAAATGCTTTGTATCTCTGATTTCATATAATCCT